GGTGGACACGAGAGGTACAACTGGCAGTTAAAGAGAAGAAAACAGCATTCAAGAAATGGCTTGGAAACAAAGAACCTTCCAGTCGCGTGCGATATGTGGAGGAACGCAAGGCGGCAGCGAAAGCAGTGACGAAAGCCAAAAGTGATTCCGGGAAGAAGTTCGGTGAGGTGTTGGAGTCGAATTTTCACACAATAAACAAAGTATTCTGGCAGACCATCCGCCGGCTCCAAGTTGAAAATAAAGGGCAGTTTGGGAGTCATGAATGAATGGTCTGGGCACCCTCTTACCAAGGATGATGACATTCTTCGTCGATGGAGGGAGTACTTTAAAGAACTCCTCAACCCGGAGCGACAGCAAGAAGACTCCTTTGTAGAGCAGCAGGGAACGGATATTATTATCTTTCTAGATGAAATTAAACAAGCTGTGAAAAGCTTGGAGAATGGTAAAGCTGCTGGAATTGATGAAATCCGTCCCGACATGCTCAAGGCATTAGGCGACCAAGGCATGCGCTGGCCTACACGTGTCTGTCAAACTGCGGGAAAGACAACAGCGGACTGGAGAATTGTAGTTATTGTACCCGTGTTCAAGAAGGGAGACCATAGGGAGTGCATTACGTTATTGAGCCTCCCAGGTAAAGTCAACGCAAAGGTGCTAGAACGGAAGTGCCGCGAAATAACTGATTCCTAAATACAATTTGACAGACATGTGTAAGCTAGCATGCCTTGTTCACCTAATGCCTTGAGGATTTCAGGGCGAATCTTATCAATTCCAGCAGCCTTTCCAATTTCAAGTTTTCACAGTTTGTGTAATTTCATTTGCAGAGATGCTAGCGTCTGCTTTCTGGTGCACTTTAGGCGAGCCCTCTTGTGACTGCTTTGGATAAAGTAGTTTCTCATAGTACTCTTGATGCCGCCGAAGTATATCTTTTTTATGGATAAGTGGGTGTCCTGACTTGTCCTTCAGAACTCTAATGCTGTTCTTCTTTCCATTTCCGAAGCTGCGGATGTTCTGCCATCTTGTCTGCAGCCTAAAAATTCGACTGAAACACCTCACCGAGCTTTTCGAAGGAATCAGTCTTTTATTTACTCATTGATTTTGCATTTCTGTTCACTTTTTTGAAGCGCATTTTAATTAATGATCTTGCGCATGAGCTGAACTTCAAAATTTGAAATTTCTGCCACTGCAGATACACAATAACGAAAATTCACTGTACAATTTGACATAAACAGGTACCTGTAGAAAGTATAGTAAAACTAATTCGATTGCTGCATTTCTAGCGATTTAAAATTATAATGTATCTAAAAGTGTCTGGGAGGTCGTTACGTGTATCTGTACTGATGGTCATGGTCTTCAATTAAAGCTGTTGTGAAAAATTTTAGGATATCAGCTCATACTGTTATTTAGACCTTGATAATAGCTTGCTGACTCTGATGCTTCTGATCGTTCCACTCTCAAATTGTATTTGGGGAAAATAATTTCCGGTGTTATCAGCGTGAGTCGTGAATTTTTAAGCGACTGATACTTATATTGCTAAAATTATGTTTTGACAATATTTCAATGTAGCTTTTAGCACATGAATGAAGCGGGTTCGCAGCCGGTGCTTTCGCACCTGCTTCTGGAACTGACGTCGCTCTCTGAGCTAAGTTTCCCTACTACTTCGTCGTCGAGAATCAAAGTATGAATATTGCCTGTTTTTTGGTTATATTTTATTATGCTCTAGAAATTTCTGGAGCTCATAACTCGCCAGAGCATTTACTGAGTAGAAACAAAACGAAAATTAACAAAAAGACGATTTAATCGATAAAATGTGGTCATTCACAGTAACGGCTTAGAGTTCAATGAATGAATATTTGATGCTTTAATAGAATCACCGGCAAGTATAATTTTTTAGCATGAAAGCCGAAACTTGTACAAACAAAACTGTTACAAGATGCACTCACGTAAGTTGGCGTAGGGAAAAGAAAAGAATCCTGCAGAATTATGCCTCAGTTTGAGCAGGGTAGAGTACCTACAATTCGCTGTCATCTTGACCGAAATAGATGACCGTTGGTTTAGATATTTCTCGGAATAACTGGCGTATTCATAGAACTTATTATGGTCAGAAATAATGTGAATTCTTGCGCTTTGAGGATATTATCACATAACGCTAACCAATGGGAATTTGCATCCCCTTCATCTCTTAGACATTTAGAAGCCTTTTAAGCAAGCCACGGCTCTATGATTTGTTGTATCTGCAGCGAATATATGCATTTTACATCATTTTACTGGTTACAGCTGTACCTTGTTCTTCGCCAGTGTTTCAGAACTCAGTCTTCTTATTTGCCGAAAAAACGTTTTACTTAACACAGCAAATGATCTCAGTGATTTGGACCAGTTTCTTCTGCTAGCCCTCTTCATTGAGTTTGACACTTTCTGAGGTCATTTACTTGTTTTAAATCGTATCCTCGCACGATATCATTAATATAGCGGCAAGTTTTTTAAACGGGTTCCTCAGACGTTGATGAAAATGACTTATTTAGTATGTCGTCCATGTCTTCCGAAATTCCATATAGAACGGATTGAAACAGTGGGACATCATGTTCCCAAAGTCTTCTCTCAGTGTTTGGAAACTGTGTTCCGAAGAAGAAACTGCAAGGGTGGGATTAAATCAATGGCGAACAGCTCAGCCTCCTAAAGTTTGTTGATGACGTGGTGCTGCTTGTGAAAATCTCCAATCAGCTACAACAGATGCTGCAACAGCGCGGCAGAAAAGGCGCAGAAGTGGGATTTCGAATCAGCTGGCTAAAGACGAAGATACTGCGATCAGATTCCCTGCCGAAGGCCAAGGTAATATTAAAGGGCGAAAAGATCTGTCGATAAATGCAGTTACCTTGGTCAAGAGATCACAATGTGCATGCATAGGCTGGAGAACAGAAAGAGGGCCGGTTGGCGCGCATTCATTTACATCAAGGGCGTCCTACTCAGCAACATCGGAAATAAGACCGCTCGCGTCTCTTCAGTTCTACCGTCCTGCTGACAATGTTGTATGATTGTGAGACGTTGTCACTCACTAAAGCCGAAGAGCGTCAGCTATCTGTTAGCGAGGGAGCTATGGAAAGAAGGATGTTAGAAATTTCACGTCGTGACAACATCTTCAGCACGATGACCAGACAGCGGGCGGGAGAAAAAACGTCATCGTTGAAAGCAAGAAGATGCTGCGTTGGGCTAGGCACGTAGCTCGGCTTATCGATGGGAGATTGTCGATTTGTACTTTCCTGGGCGGATTAAGCCGTTCGGTTGCTCACCACGACAGTAGGAAGATTACATCAGGAACCGAGAAGACACCGCTTGAAGAGAGAGTGAAAGGGAGAAGGCTCGGAACCGCGATAAATATTGCGTCCTGCGCAATTCGTCGCCGATTACGGTCGGATCAGGTGATCCCATGTGATGTTATGATCCCTCTCCGCCTATCCTTCCCCCGTATGCATAATTTATTCTTGCGAAGGAATTTGTCTACCTGGCCGATGCCAGACGCTCAACTACCAAGCACAGCGGCATTTCAGCGCAAATCTTAGCACGCAGAGCTGCAGACAACATTTCTAGGTGTTGGTACTGGTGATGCGTATCCTGAACAATCTGAACTATCCGCAGCATTGCACTCTTGTATTGCTATTCAGACATCCACAAGATCAGACTACGAAACGAGGTTCAGGCAAAAAACGATGAATCGCGCATCTTCGTAATGAAGAACTAGCGATTAGCGAAGTACTAAGCAGCATGCAATGACTATGTTCTTTCACATATATTCCTTGTGACCATTACAGTAGCAGTGTGGGTCTGTCATGAACCTCATCGGTAGGCCATTTAGAGAGTGGTGTGTTGAGCCGTCCTTCAAAACAGATCTGCCATGAATGGAATAAAAGAGAAAAAACTGTAATATAAAAGGCTGAAACACTGTGTCAAATGTCACCTTGGAGAAATGAAGATTTCAAAACAGGAATCCTGACAACAGGGCACCTGTTTCCGATGTGTTAACGGAGCAAGCAAAACGGTATTTCTCTCTATGTTTCCTGATATCAGCCATTACTCATCGTACGTAATTCGTATTCATTTGTCATCTTTATGGTTTATAATGTGACTATGAAACAGTTAAAACTTTCAGCGATCATCCTCCCGTTTCACTGATGAGCCGTCATCTGTTGTTCAGCTGATAGAGGACATACGACATGCTGAAAAAAATGCATCGCAGTTTCTTGCACGATTAGTGCCAATGGTTACATTAGTCTTTCATCCAAATGTTTACTCTGGATGTTCTCTTATTTCAGTGTATGCATCCAAGTGCTTCAAGTCATGGAGATCTTCCGGACTCTGTTAAAGATGGCATAGCTTGTCTCAGTCTGCCAGATCTCAGTGTTTTTGACATTCCGGGTTCTTCACTTGGCAATCTTGATGTTTGACTTTATCTATGCGATGCCACACCTAAGTATTTCGACATTTCATTTTAGCTTGTTTATATTGTCTAATACTACATCCAGATCGTCAGCATGTCATGACGCTTTCTGTTGCGGCTGCTTAATGCTTGAAGGTTTAAAAGATTACTACTCTGAACATGCCTGTCGTTGGAAGAGTCTAGAACACTCACAGAAGCAAATGAAAAGAAGAATAATAGATTGTAACAGGACGTGAACGCCTTTCTGAAAGTCATGTTCCCTTATACCGACGATAAATGACAGTACCAGTGGAAAACGTGTCAGTAGGAAATGTGCTTGTGAGAACCGTAGTTGTGGAAAAAACATTGGTGATAACCATGAATGGCACTAGTGCTCGATGAACATGTATAAGAGAGCCAGTACCTCTTGAAAAATACTTGTCGTCTATACTTTTGAGAAGAGTTTTTGCCGTATTACTTGTTTGTATTCGAAATAAAGTTGTACGATTGGGCAGTGGCTCAACTCATCCCCAAATGCAGACCAGTCTCCAAGCGGTTGACGGGATGAACCATCTCCGTAGCAGATCCGCTCGGCATGCTGCTACAAAGTAAGCGAGCTTAATATTCAAACGCTAGTACTATTAGGTCATCAGTGGTCCATCGCAGGTGCATCGCTTGGTCATAGTTTGACTGCGATGTCAGGAGTGTTTGAGAAGCCTTGACAGCTATTTTGTTCTTTATTTCTTATTCATAAAACCTGTTGTCGCCTATCGTTAGGATGCGTAGACATGTTTCTGCCGGCCCTGGTTCACTCAGCGTTGCAATATTGGGTATTGTCATATACATAGAAGCTAAATCTTTAATTTCTCCATTAACGGATGTGGATTGGTAGGGCAGTAAAAAACTGGTCCTATCCATTATGCCTCATGCACTGTATATGAATGAAACGTTTCACAAATTCGAGTGGTGTCGTCTTCCTATTTCATTTTTGGAAAAAATGTGTTTGGATTCTGACACTTCTGTTCTAGCAGTAGATTTCTAAGCATGACGTGTGACTCTTTCGTTAGCATATATTATGTCATAAAAACATCTTATTTAGTTTACATCGTTATCCGCATCTCTGCGCTACCTTGCCGTCGGATCGAGCAGTGGTAGTGTCTATCTGTTTTCGCGCTATGCGTTCAAACAGCTTCGCAGACCAAGCAAAATTCCAGTGAAAGTACATCCGTGCAAGGTACTGTTTCGCCAACATGACATGTGCTTTTATTAAACTGTTTTTCGCAGGATGGTGCCGTTACTCTTCTTCAGACATCCCCTGATGAACAGTACATTGCCGTTGCAGCTGCGTAAGCGGGCGTTTCTATTTTTGCTCAGATTGAACATTTGTTTTAAAATATTTTCCTTGGTCACCTCGTCTTTTTGGGAAATATGAATTAGCACATAAGTCCGTCGAGACAAAATTTTACGGCGTATTGCACCATCCATTTCCCCCTGATTGCCTAGAAGGCAATCTAAGCAGGCCACTATTCCGTGATATTTAAGCAGCTGTAGCGTTAGGTGAATCTCGCATCATTTTTTGTCGCAAAACAACCTCACTCATCACAGACGGTGTTTCAGGAGGTATTATTCCTTGTATGTTACTACACAAACATCTAATCCTCAGATTCATGCGCCGGAGTATCTTAATGTATGCATAACGCCTCCAAGTTTAGAGTCGCGTTGCACCGAGGCTTTGCTCTTTGTTGTATGAAGGGAATGGGCAACTAACGATATATTAGAAAATTTTTGATCTAAATGGGGTTGTATGATTGTTCAAAGTCGGGAGACACGGTTACATTCCAGGAAACCAGGATGAAAATCAGCCGGGCCGAAACCGAGGCCTTTGTACTCCTGTAAAAGATCACTGAGTGTGCTTTGCAGTACATGGAAGGAAATTCAGCCAGTTCAGACGTATTTCGAGCTAGCATTCGCACGTGATGGAACGTGCAGTCCCAGAAGCTGGGATCGACCGCGGATTAAGTGGCTCGATTATGTAGTAGATGCTTTGATGTCACTGTGGAGCTGGTCTAGTTTACAGAGGCCGAGATCATTGATAAAGATTTCTCTAGCTACTTTCTCTGAGACCCGGAAGGAATGGTAGGTATTGAAAATGAATTGATCTAACAGTAATGAGTTAAATTGTAGTAAGCAGAGGCTCTCATTATGAAATGAGTTTCGAGTGCTCAGCGTACAGGTAGCCTTCGAAAGATTGACTTCAGTTCGTATTACAATTGTTAATTTTAGATATTGTTTCCTGTAATTTGACAGGTAAGCATCGATAATGTCAGAATTCTTTACAGTAGGTCACCCTAATTTCGAAAATTAGTGATTAAAATGTTTCTTTACCAAGAATCTCGCTGATTGTTTTCTAGTAATACTACTTACATGACTATTAAGGAGAGGATCGCTGAACATTCTCAATATCTCCAAAGAGCAGCCCACGCAGTTTATGTTGAATGTTCTTCACTGTGGTTGGGAAATAACTTGCATCTTTTGGGCGCCCGACAGCGAAACGATATTCACTGGTGACTGTGGGGGCCGAATTTCGGTTACTCGAATCAGGGTAAGGCTCTTGGATTCATTGGTGCCAACGTTTTATTTTACTAGTTTCTAGAGCAAAATTTCATTCAAAACCGGGCCAGAAGTTTTGTTCACGCTCGACAGCTCGATAGTGCAGATCGATTTCACCCGACAAACGCTGTTAGTATCCACGAAGACCAAGACTGTTCTGTGTGATTTAAACAGGTACTTTCGTGACATCAGGATATAAATTTTTCTGTTTTCAAACGTTTTAACTGTTCAGGGGATATGAGATTGGCGGAAGGAGTTCTTCATGGTTTTTAAGGGAACTGTCTCCTACAGTGGCTTCAAGTACTTTCATCTCAGTTTGTGGTAAAGACAGTTTCTTCTGAACAGACTTACTCCACGCTCTGGGAAATTTTTCAGCCGCCTTCTCTCATAACAACATTAGTTAACCGTTTCTAGATCCGTCACACTTCGTTCCTGCTGTATTCACTAATTTCATGTATGAATCCAAATTCGTACAGAAAGCTAGACTCTGTTCATTTAAGACCAGTTTTCGATTGGCCTGTTCTTCCTGCTTTTAAAATCAGCATCTGATTATTGAGCGATGTTGAGTCATTTAATTACTTGAAACTTTGTCTTCTTCTTTCGAGTGGACTGTGTATATTAATAAAGGTTGTTGCGTAAGACTGGACTGCTACGAACCTTGCCCTGATGTATGATGTTTTGCTCTGATCATTACCTGATTCATAATGTTGTGTCATGGCTATTGTATGAACGCAAAGTCGTATTTTTCAGATTGACTTAGTTTTTATTCTCATCGGCAGTACAGCAGATTTTTGTTGTTCACTTCGCTTTACACGATCGCTTCTCCTTTTGGATCACGGAGGTAGACGCGTCATACAGTACTTCAGACGTTCACGATCCTGTACCAGCGTCTGAACTTCGGCAGAAGACAACCAAGG